TTCAAAAAAGAGAAAAAGTTAAATTAGAAGAAAGGTTAAACATAAAACAAAGAAACTAACCAAGCAGACATACTTACCAAGGAAGCAAGAAACTAGTGGTAATACTAGAATCGTTATTGGTAACGCTTTAGCCAAAGGAAATCACAATCGTCAGGAAAGGCTGTGGATTATAAAAGAAAAATTTTTTTGATTACAAGAATATTGCGTCCATAAGAGTGAAGAAAAAAAAAAAAAAATTTTTAGCATAGGAAAACACAATAAAACCCACAAACACAACACAAAAAAAAAATATATACTTTCCAGCTCAATTGGTTCAAGAATCCAGACATTCGACATAGGAACTATTAACCAACCCTGTTGTACACACGTACCCATTACGCAATAAAAGAAGAACATCAGAAAAATTCAAAAAAAAAAAAGGAATATCGGAAAAATTCAAAAGTAAAAGCAACTTTAAAACTGGTAAAAAGTGGAATATCAGAAAAATTCAAAAAGCCAAAGCAACCTTAAGACCAGAAAAGTAAAGCTTCCAATAATATAGTCATAACGATCGACAGATAAACTTGGAGCTTAAAGTTTAAGAACAATAGAACTATAAGATCAGAAAAATAAGCTCATTGTGTTAAAAACAAGGGGATATAACAATATAAACATCACTTCCTATTAAACACAAAAAAAAAAAAAAAAATTATAACAATAAACATTATTAAAGTTAAGTTATAATAAATTAGCGCATAATAAATATCGTTATAGCAATCGTAAACCAACACTAGGGCACATATAAAAAGAGAGAACTTGAACAATAGAGAAATTCTTTTACAAAAAAAAAAAAAATATACCTGGAAATAATCAAAAAAAAAAGGAAGAGGAAAAGCCGATTTCGTTCCTGGACTAGCGAAGAAACCGTGAAGTGCTAATCAAACCCACCCATGAATAAACCACATGACAATGATAATACTGTACCTCTACAAGGCCCTCCCACTTCAACGTCACGCCCTAACAACTCAAAAAAAAAAAACGGAAACAAAATAAGAAATAAACGGTGAAAAGAAAGTAAAAGTGGATCAACCAATGAACCCAGGAAGCAATAAAGACGGGAAAAGCACTTTCAATTTTAGCAAACCAGGACTTAAAAGAACAGCCTCGCCCCCAAAACTTGTGGAAGTAGAATCAAACACACAACCAAAGGAAGAAGCCACCAAAATGGATTCAGCCCAGCTACAGCTGCTGCTCGATAAGTTTACCAAAACGTTTGAAGATGCAACAACTAAGATAATCAATGCAGGTGCAACAGGGAAAAAGGAACTAAACCTCATAACCATCCCTAAATTCAATGGAAGGGAAAACGAAGACCCCATAGAATGGTTTGAGTCGTTTGATCAAGCTGCTGAAACCAACAATTGAAGCAAAGAAAGAAGGATTACAATTGCCACGGGTTACCTTAGTGATCTAGCAGCGGATTGGTACCGCGAAAATAAGGGAAAAATTAAGTATTGGAATGAGGAAAGTTGCCCAACTAAGAGCTTCTTCCACCTGTTATCTACGTTTTTTGCAACACCCGAATGGCACCACCATTGGCAAATAGAATTGAATGCCCTCACACAGAAACCAGGAGAAAAAGTCGACTCTTATGCTGCGAAATTCAAAAGACTCTTGCGTAGAGTTGAATCCAGTGGAAAACTCCCCCTGCATATGTTGTGCGCATGTTTCTTGGCAGTTTGAGTGGCAAAATGGCAACCTTCGTTACTATGGTGGCCCCAAAAACGTTGGATGATGCTATCACGTATGCGCGAAAGGTGGAAGCGGGTGACTACTATGGACAACAAGCAGCAGTGCACCAAGCACCTGTAAAAATTGAGAACGATATGGAAAACTTGGTAAAAAGAATGAATGAGCTAACAATAAATTATGCCAATATGGCAAACTCGATCGCACAATCAACAAAATGGAGTCAAAGAAAGTATGACCAAACTAATCAAGGAAATCACCGACCAAGAAACCCCGATATTGTGTGTTATAAATGCGACCAAAAAGGTCACGTTGCTCGATTTTGTACCAAGAATCTTGCTGCGCAAAAGGATATACATCCCAACCAAGTTATGTCAAAAAGGGTAAACTATTGTAACATGGGGGAAGATGATGACGACATAGTATGGGAAGAAGAATTGTACAACATTAGAGACACCCACCAGCAATATGAAGTAAAAAGAAGAGGTCGACCACCTAAAAACCCTGAAAATAATTGGGAGACTCAAGGAAAAAAGCGAAAAGTATCGCACTCCCTCCCACCCATGGTAGTTATTGCAGGACCCTCGTCCCAAAGCAATAAAATAATGAATGAAGTGGCCCCTGCCCCCCCTAAAGGTCCTACCAACCCCCATCGTAAACGAGGACCATCCATCGTTGATAAAATTAAACCATACAATATTGCCAACGACCTCTTAGCAGCAAAGTCTAATGCAACGTTTGGACAACTTCTACAATACCCCAACCAAAAAAGGAACCTGGCAAAAGCCCTCAGAAGACCACCCCATACTAAGGAAGCAAACCTTGTAGACCCCCAACCTCAACAACGAACAACCGCAGCAAAGTGTCACGTGTATGTCACCGACGAGCCCGTAGTAGCTGTATTAGACACTGGTGCAGCCATAAGTATCATAACAAAACGATTGGCAGACCGACTTGGGATTAGTATAGAGGAGGAGTCAAAAACAGTGGTAGTAACAGCAACAGGTGCCAGAGAACGTACGTTGGGAAGTACAGCTAAAGTGAATATCAATGTAAATGGCGTCAACATACCCACCTACCTACAAGTATTAGAGTCTGTTGATGAAAATTTGCTACTAGGAACCGACTGGTTCCAAAAAGCTCGAGCGATGGTGAATTTCGATGAACAAAAACTAGTAATTAGGTATTTAGGTAGGAGGTTTGAAGTACCCATAATGCATACAGACAAGGGAAAACAGAAAGAGTATGTGAACGAGGACATGAGGTCAGGTGACCACGATGGTGACGAAAACGACGATGACGATCTATTTGAGGAATTTGAGTATGAAAGTGAGGATTTAGAAGAAGTTGAAAGTTACTCTACAGATAGTATTCCGGTTGGTGAAGTATCAGAAAGTGAGTCGGAAGGAAGGATTGATGACGAAAACGTTGAAGAAAGCCCGGCAGTCTGTCTAGCTGTAATGGAAGAAGTCCCAACCGAAAAAAAGGTCCCTGTTGATGAAAAACCGCCTGTGGAAGACCAATTAGTTAGAATAGTGGATGGTGTGAATATAGAAGCACAGTATAAAGTAAATGTGGAGCAATTGTTTAAAGCAAATGAGGACTTATTCGCAAATGGGTTAGAAGAACTTGGACAAACCAACCTCGTGAAGCACGTGATCAAGACTGGTGACGTTGAACCAATTAAACAAGCACCTTATCATTTGGCCCCCAGCGAACAGGAATTTGTGTGTGAGGAGTTGAATAAACTAAAGGAGAAGGGATTGATTAGAGAATCGTTTAGCCCTTGGGCATCCCCCATAGTATTAGTCCCCAAAAAAAATAACAAATTAAGGATGTGTGTTGACTATCAACGGTTAAACAAGGTAACAAAAAAGGATGCATATCCTATCCCTCACATCGATGACCTCCTAGAAGCGTTCGGCGGTGCTCAATGGTTTAGTAGCCTCGACCTTGCTAATGGCTACTGGCAGGTCCAAATGAGTGATGAAGACTGCGAAAAAACGGCGTTCGTGACCAAATTTGGAACGTTTGAGTTTACGGTTATGCCATTTGGTCTTTGTAATGCCCCTGCGACGTTTCAAAGACTGATGGACAAAATTCTATATGAATTTACTGATAAATTCGTCGCAGTATACCTCGACGACATTAATATCTATTCTCATACCTTACCTGAACATATTAACCACTTGAGCCAAGTATTCAAAAAAATTAGGGATGCAGGTCTTAAGTTAAATTTAGAAAAATACCAGTTTTTTCTTCAAAACTTGCATTTTTTAGGTCACATTATCGGTAAGGATGATATACGGCCGGATGGGGCAAAAACAGAAAAAGTCAAAAATTTCCCAGTACCCAAAAACATACGGCAATTACGGGGTTTTCTAGGGTTATCATCTTACTACCGTAAATTTATTAAAAACTTTGCAACAATCACGAAACCATTACACCACCTATTACAAAAAAACACCCCCTATAACTGGACTACCCAACAACAACTAGCATTCGACACCCTTAAACAACATCTAATTTCCGCCCCTATACTATGTTACTCTGACTTCGACAGAAGGTTTTTTTTACACACTGACGCATCTGGAGTAGGGTTAGATGCCGTCTTGGCCCAAGTTGGGGATGATCGTAAAGAATACGTAGTCGCTTATGCATCCCGAAGTCTTTCTAGACCTAAAAGAAACTACTTTACAACCGAACTAGAATGTCTAGCTGTAATTTGGGCAATCGAATATTTTCACTATTATCTTGGCTATAAGCCATTTACGGTTGTAACTGATCACTCAGCCCTGAAGTGGTTGGAATCGTCGAAATTGAAAGAAAGGCGTGCCCGTTGAATCCTATGTTTACAACCATATAACTATACTATTGAACACCGACCAGGACGAAAGCATTCAAATGCTGATGCTCTCTCACGTATCTAAGTACAAATTAAAAAGTTAAAAATTAGTAAAAAAAAAAAAAAAAAAAAAAAAAAATCTTCAATACTCAAATCCGGACCCAATCCAGACCAGGTAACCGGTGTCCTGGCACTACAATAAAACCCAAAGATAAGTTAGTCAAATCTCAAAAAAAAAAAAAAAAAACATAAACAACCACACCAAATAATTATACTTAGCTCAAAGTTGAATCAGTCTAGTCCACAACATGGATTCCACCCATTATCAACACCTAAAACATTTCATAACCCACCAATACCTACCACCCGGGCTGGATAAACAAGAACAAGCAAGAATAAAGTCCAAATCAAGGTTTTTTAAAGTGAAAGAGAATGCATTATATAAGAGAGATAGGCGTGAAAAGGGTAATTGGCTGAAGGTAGTACAAACATTTGAGATAGAGCCCATCCTATTTCTTGCGCACAACCATCCAACTGGAGGTCACATGGGGCAAGCAGCTATGTTTAATAAAATAAGAAGGTACTATTTTTGGCCCCAGATGTTTGAAAACATCCGTGAATACGTTCATACATGTGACTCATGCCAATGAAGGGGGAAAAACAAGCTTCAAGAACCCCTCCACCCGATTCCAGTGGACTCACCATTTTACCGTGTTGGGATTGACATTGTGGGACCCCTACCCATCACCCCTAGAAACAAGAGATATATAGTCGTTGCTACTGACTATATGTCAAAATGGCCCGAGGCAAGAGCAATTGAGAAGGATAATGCCGTTGCAGTTGCCGAATTTGTTTATGAAGAAATTATATGCAGGCACGGTTGCCCTATGTACCTGTCATTTGATCGAGGCACACATTTTAGGAACGAATTAATTGAAGCATTATTAAAGAAGTTCCAAATTAAACATCAACTATCGACCCCCTACCATCCACAAAGTAACGGTCTCGTTGAACGGTACAATAAAACATTATGCGAGTTAATAGCAAAGACAATTCAAAACGTCACCGACTGGGACCAGTTTATCCAACCAATACTTTTTGCATATTGTACAACAAAACAAAGTTCCACAAAAATGACGCCATTTTATTTAGTTTACGGAAGGAAGGCTTGATTGCCCCTACACCCTGGTAATACCCCTGATATCTTAAACGGAACAATCATCCAAAGAACTTTTAATTTACTGAACCAGGTACCAACTCAGCGAAACAAAGCAGTGAAACAAGTGCGATCTGCACAACTGAAACAGAAGGCATACTACGATCGACACATCAAGGTTACACCAGAGTTCCACGTTGGCACCAAAGTATTGTTATTTGATGCTGCCCATTTAATGTCTAGAAGCCATAAGCTCAACCAAAAATGGAAAGGCCCATTTTTTGTGCACAAGGTTTTAGCCAACGGTTCCTATAAAATAAGAACTCTGGATGGACAAGTTGTAAAATCTCCTATCAATAAAGCGCAACTAAAAGAGTACCACGAAGCTCGAAACCATCTGAGGTAGCAATCGAAGGGGACGTAGGTGTTTAAAGAGAGGAAGGAAGAAAGTAAAGGCCCACGAAAGAAGCTTAAACCGAATAAATAAATTATTAATCAAAAAAAAAAAGAGTGAAGAAAGTTAGTACCGATAGAAACAACAAAAGAAGAAAACGAAGGATACTTCCCCAATCCGTGGCTAAACTATTAAAAAAAAAAAAAAAAAAAAAAAAAACCAGTAAATATATAAAATAACTAAACCCGGGAAGCGAAAGGAAGAAATCATCAGGCAGCAAACGACGAAAGCAAGCGACAAACAAATTAACTAATCAAAAAAAAAAAAAAAAATCCCAATCTGAAACAAATGGACCCTCTCAATAAAATAATCAGCGACCTACTGTCAACCACCCTGCAAGATGTTGTTGTTATGCCCCCACCATACCACTCCGCTGAAGACCTAGATGACAAAGTAATGAAGACATATCAGCAAATGCTCAAGAACGTTAAACTCAAAAACCACACTGAAAGTCTAATCCACGCTTTTTACCTGGGCGAAATGTTGACCAAGATGGATCCCAAGCAGCAGACCTTTTACCGAAAGGTGATCACAAAACACTACTTCATGGCCGCAACGAGAGCATTTTGGTTGTTTGAAGCCTATGGACCCGCCCAAATCTATCGTACAAAGAGTATCAACATAACCGTAATGGCAAGAATGAAGGCCGAAGATTTCCGAAGCCTGGTTTAAATTCGTGAAACGAATGTATTAAAGTGGGGAGAAATATCACGATCCAAAATAGGATCGTCGATATTTCATTTAAGTTACATCGCATAATGAAGTAATAATATATAGTAATTA